CCCCCCCCCTCCAGCCGCAAACTTTTTTCCATCATTCTCGCCGTAAAACTCGGGAAAAATCCAAGAGAAAAGACTGAACATTTTTCTGAAAATCCCTCACGTGTTCTTCCCCTTGTTTAATAACCACAGCATTATGATTAATTTGTCCGGGATATACGAGGGGACAAATTTTTCACCACAGAATAATGTCAGCGGGCTACAACGCACCAGGGACAATAGCATTCCCTCCGCGTTCCTTTATACCTCCGCTGTGAGGCTGCCCTGGCATTACTGAACATTATAAAAAAAATATATATGAGAGAGAAATCTTTCCGGAGACCTTTGTCATCCGCAGCTCCACGTAAACATATATTTCCACTACACGAATTCAAATATCTTGTAGTTCAAGGCTACGCGGTGCATTATCAACACAAAGAAAATTATTTTTAATCAATTACTCATGATTCAGTTATTCCCCTTAATCATTCACTCAATCCCAGTACACCCCCCCCCCCGCCCTCCCCCCGAAGGACGAAGTGATTTCCTTCAGGAAAAAAAATCAAAATAATAATTGTGCATTTCGTCTATTTTCAGACGGAAAATAATGGAAAAAAATAGTAATATTTCACGCAAAGGACACACTCTTGTACGACCTCGACCGAGACCGATTATTCTCCCGCAACACGAAAGTATTCACCGTTGAAGCTCGAAAGCACCTCCTCCCCCCACTATTTTCCCTTCTAGCGTGTGTCGTTCGATCGATCGAGCCGTGTGGCGGTAAAACGCAGCTACCACTCTGTCTCTTTTCACTTTGTACATTGCCAGTAGAAGAATGGGTATTGAGTCAGGCTCGATAAAATAATTTTTCGAGAGATGGATTTTTCATTTTATTTTTCATTCACAACATGTCTTTGAAATTTGTTTTCAAAATGAAATTTTGAAATTTCGGTGAAAAACTGTTGGTTTTTTTTTTTTTTTCGGATATGTCTTGGAAACGGCACAAGTTAACTTTGACTATTGACCAGTTTTCAATGAATATCTCGGAATCTAAGGGGGATATCAAAATTTTTGTTATAACCTTTTTTGTAGGGCCGATTGAGTGCTACAACAAATGTGATTACGAAAATTTCGCTATCTCCCTTAGATTATGAAGTATTCCTCAAAAACTCAACTGGGAGATGAGTCGACTTAAACCGTTTCACCGTTTCGCACAGCGTGATGAAAATATTGTTTCATTCCAGGAATATTTTTTATCCATCCGTTTCGTGTTTGTCATAAAAAAAGTGAACATGTTATTTTTACTCTTGATAAAAGTTTATCTTCGATGAGAAAAAAAAAATAAAGAATAAAATTTTGAATTCAATAATTCTCAATTGCGAAAATAATTTCTCATTCCACGAGTATTTTTTCATTCATTCCGTGCTCTAAGCGATAAAAAAGGACTCGAGATGGTATTATGAAGCGAGAGAGGGAGAGGTAGGAGTGAGAGGGGAGAAGCTAAAAACCTCAGTTTACAGTTAACTTTGTATAAGGGCTTCCGGGTCTCGCGATTCCCCGACTACCAACAATAAAAACCCCATTACTTATTCATTTTTCTTTTTCGAATAATAATGATGATAGAATAGTCGCGGTAAGGTGTATGCATGATGAAGTGGTTTGTTTTAATAGTGTTTAGAGCATGTATTTTCCCTTGTTTGTTAATGAAATAACTGACCTTGCAGCCCTCACAGCTGGTAACACCGTAATGAAAACCGCTCGCCTTGTCACCGCACACCTTACAAGGTACAAAACTCTTGGCTGGAGTCGAACTGTTGGAGTCTGCTGCTGCGTAATGTTGCTCTGTAACATAAACGGAGAATTTATTAATATCTTATTACCACCCTTGACATTTTTTAATTTCATTTTCCTTTCGCTCTAAAACGATGAGATGAAAACTTTTCCATCTTTCCATGAGGAAAGTTCACCCAACATTTTTCAAAAAACAGTTCCCGAATTTTTCATTCTGCGAATAATCCCCCGGAAAAAAATACCCAGTAAATGTTTCCAAAGAAAAAAAATCAAGTGAAAATTCCCTGGAAAATATTTTCAGGAATTGCTCAATGAGGAAAACAATTCCGGCCACTGCTAGAAAACATTGAAAAAATCTTGAAGAAAAGTAGAAACCTGAAGATTGATGAAGTAATTAAAAAACTGCAATTTTTTAAAATTACGGCCATTTTGTATGAATAATTTATAAATAATTTTCTAACATAGAAATCATTTGTTCGGAATCGTCACGAATTTGTTCATCGATTCCATGCATAAAACAAGGTTTCCAAAAGTTTAAACAATTTCAATTATTCACTTACAAAGAATGAATGTTTAACAAAACAATAATTCTGTGAAAATTTTTCTCACACAATTTAATTGACAAATTTGATGATTGAAAATGATTGAAACGACAAAGTTCTCAAACAAGTCTTACTTGTGCCAAGAAAATGGTTTTTTGAAAATTATCCAAAAAGTTTTTTCTGTGCTAAATATGGAGAGAGTGCGTCAGAATGAAAAATTATTGTCGCAAAAATAGATTTAGTAGTTGAAAAAAAATTGCATTCTCTGTACACGCAAGAAATGTCATTTCTAGCACTACTCCTTCGTTATTCGATACTCCCATGCGTATTTTGCTCCCGAAAAATCTTTGTTTTATGCGAAACAAGAGATAGTGGTTGTTCGTTTCGGCTGTCTAATAATCACAGACAACAAATGAACCCTTAAATGAAACAATAATAATGATATGATAGCAATCTTGTAACTTGGGGATAAAATATTTGTTGATAAATTTTCCTCTGTATGAGATATTTTCATCCTGAAAAGGCACCGTCTGGTGTGAATTATCGGCCTCTTGAGCCAAATATTCCGTTGCTATCGAAAGCAGAGCAATTATTCACGTTTGAGACTTTCAAATTCGAATCAAACAAATTCTTTTTGGCAATTTTCAACTAGCGACTTGGCCCAACCAAGAATTGACGTGTTTGTTGTTCTCTCAGTGTAAAAGATACTTACAATAAAATAAAATAATCTTCAAACAAAAATGTCTCAATTTCCCAAAAATTAGATTTTAATCTCAAAATAAGACTCAAGACGAAACTATCAATCCTAAATCTCATTTGAAGATCCCGGAGAGACGGCTGTTTTCGCCGCACGATGAAGAGATTCAGTCACAGATTTCGAAGGAAAAAAAGCCAATGCATCGACACATCCCGACATATAGCGGTATTTATATTTCCAGTGGTTTGTCGTATTGCGGGAATGACATATCCCGTCGGTGTTTCCTTTGGAGGATAGTCTCGTCGAAAAACGTAGGATCGTCTAGTCGTAACGGCAAGCCGTCCATCACCGTTACAAGCCCAGAGACAGTGGTAAAAACGTGAAAAATCCCGAGGAGAGGAAGAAGAAAAAACCATCGCCGGAGTGTTTCTCGGGCAAATAAAGAGGCATATCTTTCAATTCTCATGCATTTTCCACGGCCAATTGTACCGTTCATACATCTACCCGTTTTGTACCTCCATTTGGAGACTCCTAATTCAGTCATAAGGGGAGTCGCACACTGCACTCAGCATGAATAAAATAAACCCGAAAGAGAGGAGAGGAAATTTATGGAAAATATCGTTAGAATTGCGATTTCATGTGTTTACATAATAGGGGGGGAAAATGGGAGAGGGAGTGGAGTGGCGGGCGCGTCTCGGTGCATTGAACGTCCGACAGACGAGGGAAAAAACTCGCCGTTAGTCCGACAGGATTCCTAGACTTGGCAGTGCGTATGGAATCTTTCAGCTGCACGCGGGGAATATAGCGGATATGTGCATTTCGTGAGATATTTTTCAGAGCGAGATAAGATTTTTATGGGATCAGCGGAGGGTTCAAATGAGTTCGTTTGGATTTCAGTCGAGTCTTGAATGGGGATTTGGTATTGAATTGTGGATATTGTGGGGGTTACGGGTGATTTCCTCTTATTTTTGACGGAAAGAAAGCGACGAAAAAGTTTTTTCGACAAAATGCCAACAATATGGGACCTTTTACTCGGAAGGAAGTGATAGGTTTGGGGGGGACTTGAACCCGCAACCTTCGGATAACCAGTCCACTGTTTAGCCACTTGCGCTAGTGGGAGTTACCACATTTACCATTGATTTTATCATTCTTACGAATTTCGACGATATACCATTTAATTGATGATTCATGGGCTTCCCATAATTGGCAGAAATAATAAAATGAAGGAAAAAGTAAAAAGTAAATTATGAGATAGTAAAAGTAGAGTTGATTATAAAAAATAAAAAATTTATTGCCAGTATATAAACTATTATAAACTCGATAGACACTCCATTTATCTATTCAATAACATCAATGCGTTACAGAGACGTAAAAAAAAAATCGTCCACCGGAGGGATTTGAACCCGCAACCTTCGGATTACCAGTCTGCTCTTCAACCATTCGATCCATTGGGAGTTACCGCATCTACCATTGATTTTATACTCCTTATAAATGTCAACCAATATTCATCACTATTATCCTGAACCACTAAAATAATAAACCGTTTTGCCCCACGAGTTCAAAATACTCTATTCCGAATCAAGCGGAACTGACGACAAAATTTTCTCGGAAATTACTTCCTACCGAATTCACCCCCATGCTATGCACGAAAACTGGGTCATGGAAAGTCCTGTATACAATACACGTATTCTCTACACTTCCCTCAGTGGCGCCGGGAGCGCGGCAAACCCACCTCGTCTCGTCATTTTCGTCCTTCAATTAATCCCCCTCCACCCTTTCTCCGCCCCGCGAGCTCGTTTTCAAATTAATGACCCGTTTTCTCCTGGTTATCCAATCAGAAATTCAAAACAGATCAATGATACCCTTCCTATTCGCCATTTATCCTTCTACATCCTGATTAATTTCGTTAATTACGGATCAATAAAACAATGAGAGTACTTGCGGTGGGAAATAATGATATTGGAAATACGTCGGGGGAACAATTCAATATTTCACGTGTCGTTGAATATTTAATTATATTGGTGATGTGGGTTTTAGGGGATAATGGCAGGGAATATTTTTTGCTGAGAATTTAATGAGCTGTGGAAAAAGTTTCTGGAGATTTTTTTGGAGAATCAACTATTTTCGGGGGAACAATGGGGATTTATCTCTTGTTAAGAGGCCAATTATCTCAATAACCAGGGGTTTCCGAGCAAAATGTCAAACAACTTTTTTGTTGCAAGTTTCATAAGCTGCAAAAAGTTTGCCAAAGATTTTTTCCAAATCCACTCGTTTTCGAGATATCTTCAAAAAACTGAAAACATTAAATTGAATTTTTCTTAATCCCAAAAATCCATTTTTTCCAAGTATCCAATTATCTCGATAATGAGAGGTTTGACAGTAAAAAGTCACNGAATATTTAATTATATTGGTGATGTGGGTTTTAGGGGATAATGGCAGGGAATATTTTTTGCTGAGAATTTAATGAGCTGTGGAAAAAGTTTCTGGAGATTTTTTTGGAGAATCAACTATTTTCGGGGGAACAATGGGGATTTATCTCTTGTTAAGAGGCCAATTATCTCAATAACCAGGGGTTTCCGAGCAAAATGTCAAACAACTTTTTTGTTGCAAGTTTCATAAGCTGCAAAAAGTTTGCCAAAGATTTTTTCCAAATCCACTCGTTTTCGAGATATCTTCAAAAAACTGAAAACATTAAATTGAATTTTTCTTAATCCCAAAAATCCATTTTTTCCAAGTATCCAATTGTCTCGATAATGAGAGGTTTGACAGTAAAAAATCACATACCATTTTTATTAGAAATTTCATAATCTCCAAAAACTTCGCGGCACATTTTCCCCTAAACCCGCAAACCCGCGAGATAATTTAAACTAACGAGAAGTATCTCCCGAATTCTGAATTCTCCGCTCAATTACCCACCACCGTCTCCTTTCAATCGAAATATTAAACCCCCTAATTAATATTTTTCCCCGCCCACAGACGCAACTGTTGAGGGCGGCGTCAGGGTGGCTGGCGACGATTTTTCGAATCCCAAAAATCCATTTTTTCCAAGTATGCAATTATCTCGATAATGAGAGGTTTGACAGAAAAAAGTCACACACCATTTTTATTAGAAATTTCATAATCTCCAAAAACTTCGCGGCACATTTTCCCCTAAACCCGCAAACCCGCGAGATAATTTAAACTAACGAGAAGTATCTCCCGAATTCTGAATTCTCCGCTCAATTACCCACCACCGTCTCCTTTCAATCGAAATATTAAACCCCCTAATTAATATTTTTCCCCGCCCACAGACGCAACTGTTGAGGGCGGCGTCAGGGTGGCTGGCGACAATTACCCCGCGAGCTCCCTTTGTTGCTCCACAATAATTACATCTGCGTATATATGCACCGGCCTTCTATTCGGCTGCTCTACACCAGTGGAAAATGAGGCAATTATGATTGCCGCTCACTCGAGGGCTCCGAGACTCGATTGCATGAATGAGCATTATTACAGGGAGCCATTGTATTCCCATTCCTCCAACATCGATACTCCCGCCCCCCTTTTTTTCAAACTCTCGTTTCCTTGTTCATGCTCCCTCTATTCTCCAGCAAAAGATATTTGTCAGGTAATGCATCCAAACACTTTACTCCACCCTAAGATGATATACAATACCTTGACATAAATAAAATAGATAAACCAATGATGGGAGCAGAAATAGACTGTCATACACTGCTCTATTGTGCTCTATTCGTTTCGTTGGATATTGAAAGCGATACGAAAATGGATGCTCTCATGTATTTACTGACGTCACCTTATGATGGACACGATGAATA